CCTAATTTATCACACTCTTGGCGTGTATTATTTATTTTCCTTAATGCTATCTCGGGCGTGATTGCCCTCGGTGAAACTCGATCATTCTGTTGTCCATTTATAAAGTGCGTTCTCTTAGATCAAGACCATCCAATATCTTCCTTGCGTCTTTGGCTTCTTCAGATGTGTTGGTGGGTCTGTTGGTGTACCCGCCATAAATCGTCTTACATAGCGGCAAAAAATCTCAATGGGGTGATGGCTGTTACGACTAACAGTTGAAATTTTGGCCATTTTACAGCCGGCGGTTAACCCAAAATTAAACATTGTAGTAAGGAAAGATTTTTTTGGCTAAAGCTAAGTGAAAAAAAGTTCGTGACTTGTCGGATTATCGCCATGACAATTTAGCTGCAGTGGGAATGAGGCAGCATAAATTTACACTTGTGAGATAAATATCCTCTAGCGTACACCGGGGAAGAATTGACTGTCTGTGTGCTTTTCGGACTAATTGAAGTTTCTCCGTCCATTCAAGTTATCTGTATTTAAATGAATACCTCCGACCACTTCCACACACGAAGATAGTTCTTTGTCACTGCATTCAGTTGGTGTTATAATCGAAAGTCAACGAGCGATCAGCTGTAAAATACCCTCAGTCGATAATATTAAGACTTTCTTTCTAACACTAAGCTATTTTGAGAACGAAGAACTTATTTTCATTCACCAACATGTCTCACTAAGAAGGTGCCTTCCTTTCAAAAGTTTACAATGCTAGCTAAAGGTTAGAGAGCACGACTGTGGCCTTCAATATCTTGAAAATACGCCATTAGAAACAGGGTAATTTTTGCAGCTTTTTAAGTCTGGTGATGCAAAACTGCCTACGGGAGTTTAAAGGGGAGCCAAGATGGACCGTAGTGAAAGCTTTTGGTAGAGAGGAACTTTCATTGGTACTCCAAAGGAATCAAACCCCTCACGGAGAGACTAAGTTGAAAGTAGAAAGAAGAAATTCGTTTGGGAACAAAAATAACTAATCACTGGCCTGTATAAACAGCAATTAAAAAAAAGAACAATTGACGATGAAATGTAAATTGACGATAAAATGTAAATTTACCAGAACAAATGCCTAACATAATAAAAGGGCACTCAACCCTGTCTTAGGTTTCGTCTGATTAATCATGGTCACGATTCTCCTCAGTGGCACGAATTTTTCTTGATTTTCGAATAGCAGGAACCACAGAAATCATACGCTCAGCAGATTGAAAAAATTAACGGGAGCATCAATTAGAGATTTCTGCTTCACAAAGTTGAAGCGCAGTTCTGTTTATCTTATTTCAGCTACTCCCTCCTCTTTCCCCTCCCCGCCGCCCTCGGTTTCAAATCTCAGGAAAAACAAACAAATGGGTCAAAGGAATAGCCCCGAAAAGCTAAAAAGAGGCCAGAAAGAGAAAGTAAATATCATTCGGGTTGTGAACAACGAAAAGATATGTCAAATGGTGAAACGAGCTTGACAAGGAATCACTTTCGTTATTTACCTGGAATTCTGCAGTGGCACCTAGAGTTAAGTGCACGCTGTGTGGCACTGAAGTTGTTCTCTGGAGCTCGTCCAATCAATAATCTCCTCGTCAGTAGTTTTGGAAATGTATAGAGAACAGTTGGGAGAATATGCATACTGACGTTCAGCTGTAAAGGGTTAAACATATCTCTTCAATTTGCACATATAATAAAGGGAATTTGAAGGAGTGGGAAGACCTCCCTTTCTCCAAATTCAGTCGTTAGTGTGAAAGTTATATTGAAGAGCGATATTTTGAAAACTCCAACTTCCTTATAAGTTAAACTTCTGACAAATGAAAGATTAATCTCTCCTGTAATAGAATCCTTCTAATTTTGGTAAAGTGGTCAAAAGGAAACCCTGTCCATCTCGGTGTAAGAACTGTTATTCGATGAGATGATGTCCGGCTGTGCTACGTTATTTCAATATTTTCGTGATCGGTCCTTAACCCTTTACATCCTAAAAACAGTATTCATATTCTCCATACATTTCCTAAAGTGCTATGTTGACCGACCAACAGGAAAGTTCCTTTCTGGAAATGTTAATCTTCCTTGAAGCAGATCGAAGAAGGATTTTAAATTATATGTTAGCTACTTCGCCTTCTCCCTTTTTGTTTTCACTTAGTTTTGTTTCTCTTTCTCATTAGTACGCTGACACTTTACTCATTACATCACTAGCGCCATGCTTTTTGGAATATTCTGCGGTTAATCAAAATAACTCCGAATTCTTGGAAAAAGGGATAGTTGTCACGCTGTTATCGAGTATCAACTACTGGCAATCAACTACTGCACGGTCTTGGTTATATTTAACAAAGTCAATGCAAACCAATTCCTCGAGCCAAACCTCAGTAATTAAACCCATGCCTTGTCTTAGCTTCAACACATCCCAGTAAATTATCACAGACATGAAACTGAAAGGCCATCAGTTGCCAGAAGGTTTTGTTGTCACGCGTTAACGAGGTTAAAAAGCGTGATTGTTGCTTTTAAACTGTTAAAATTATGCCATAAGAAACAGGGCAATGGTAGAACGTGTTAAGACTGGTTGCATAACACTGGTAAAGGGAGTTTAAGGAGTAGTCAAAATGAGCCGCATGGAAACCTATCTGCGTAGGAATGAGTTTAAAGAACAACAGAAGGAGGTTTAATTCACTACTGGTCTTGCTCATATTAAGAGCAGAGGAGAAACAAACTGTTGACCACTAACAAGCCATAACAGATGCGGTGTATAAAACACAAATAAGAGTTCCATGATGTGTTATTTCGGTATTAACAAAACCAGGGCAAACGAGTAGAGCTAGAATGAGTGGTAGAGTCTTGGCACACTCTACTATTACAAGAGAGGATGAAATCCTTCCCGAGCACCACTGCTACAGATATATAAATATTTTTTTTCCCTAGCTTTCATATTACTACCCCTTTCTCCCATTACAGTGCTGTTGGTCATAACAAAATGGTCGCTAATTTCTTAAAGCATTGTTCGGGGGAAAATGGGGGAATTTAAATAAACTTAGGGAAGATTTCTTTTTATTATGTTTTAGCGGGGAGCAGTCGACCACCCACTAAGGGGAGGCGCGCCAACTTATTTTGCCTCTAATTGTAGTTATTTAAGGAGGTCAGGGGCGAATAATCCGGTTTTAGCTCTCTGAATAATTTTTTTTATCAATCACGATTTTCCAGAGGAACACTAGCTGCACGTAGTCTTAATTTGACCTTAAGATCTTAGTGTTCCTTGAGCAATAATTTGAAATCGGACGTTTTTTTAACATTAAGAAATTTATTTAGTATTCCAAAGGAGCCAACGTCGAGACGGTGAGACTAAGTGGAAACCGGAAAATAAATAACCATTTGGGTGTTGGAGTAACTAATCACTGGCTTGTAGAAACAGTAATAAAAAAATTGACGTTAAAATGTAAACTCACGAGAACTACATTCCTATCATAATGAAAGGGCTCTTAATCCTGTCCTAAACCTCGTCTAATTGATTACGATTCTCTTGTTCTTGATTTTCCAGTGCCAGGAAAAACAAAGATTCAAAACGCTTAGCAGATTATGAACAACTTAACGTGAGCATCAATTGGCGCAATTCATCTTGGATTTAAATACTATGAAAAACACGGAACGATGTCAAAAACTGAAAGTAATTATATTATTTGTGTTGTGAACAAGGAAAAAAAACATGTCAATTTTGAAAAATTAAGGCCCACATGGTGAAACGAAGTTAGCACGGAATCACGTTCTTTATTTTATTGTAGTTATGTGCTGGCACGGAAAGCTAAGTTCACGCCGTGTAACACTGAAGTTGATCTCTGGAACTCGCTCACTAAATAGTCTACAATAGTTGGTCCGGGCGCTACGGCGTAAAATCTATGTCGCGGTGAATTAATTTATATCTCTATTACCGTTGAAACTTTTCTTATTTTGGTATTTGACAATGTGAATTAGTTAAGTCTTTCTTCGTCGCTCATCGGACTGAATGCGACAGAAATAATTGATAAAAGGGCAAATTTTAAGGTGACATCGCTGTAAATTAGAGAGAATGGGCCACAATTGGTCGACGGGAGTTCTTAAAACTCGCTTTTCTGAGGTGCAAACTTTAATTGCCACGCAAACACTTTTGTACACGTGAAACAATTCTTCAATTTACACCGGTAGTAAAGAGAAATTTTAGGCGGAAAAAAACCCTCCACGGCACATAAAAATGTAACATATACTGTCGCTTTGAGTATGAAAGCGATTTTTCAAAAGTGATTTTCTGAAAACCCAACTTCCTTACACATATTACCAAGTAGGGAATGAAAGATTAGTCTATTTCTGCTATGGAATTATTTTAAATTTTGCAAATTGGCCAAAAAGAATCTTCATCCATTTTAGTTGGAAAATTGTTGGTCGATGAGATGATGTCTGTGGTTTTAGTCTCTTTAAGACCTTCACCCTTTACACCCAAACATTAATATGCATATTCTTCATAATCTTCTATACATTTCCTAAGGTGCTGACAAGGAGAATTCGTTTAACAATCAATAGCTTTTTTCTTAGTCGCTGATTAATTCCATAACTCTCCTGACCTTAAAATGTGATTCAGAGATGATACTGTAAGGAGAAATTAGATTCTCATCACTCTTAGCCGAGGTTAAAGGATTAAGACGTGACTACCATGTTAATTTTCCGGCAGAATCCCCGCCGGATTATTCAATATGTGACTATTGCAAATTTCGCTTCAACTTCTATTCCCTTTTGATTTTCTGTCTTCCTGTCTTTCTCCCTCCCTTACAATTTTTCTTTTTTGCCCCGTTGCCCTTGCATTGAAACTGTTTTTCTGCTGGCGAATGACAGTTCCACTTAAACATTCATTTTTTTCTTTTGGAGCGGTGTCAAGACAGCAGACAATTGGTTTTACAATGAATGCAACGGGTTATTAGAGGCCATTATCGTTGAAATAAATTAAAAAAGCAATAATCGTTTCCGCATCCAATAAATGTTCTCACAATTACATAATAACTCCTGGTTTTTTCTTTCATCAATTGATTATTGGCTCAGCTGGTAGTTTTATTCTTTTTCCCTTTGCTGCATTTTGAAGGTATAAGTTTTTAATCAACCAGACCAAAGCACCTGACAACATCTATCTGGATAGAGGAGTATTTGGTCGACTGACAATCAACGCCAACCAATTCCCTGAACTGAACCTGGGCCTTGTTTTGGCTGCAACACATCCCACAAAATTATCATAGACATAAAAAAGGCATTAGTTGTCGGGGTGCAGTAAAGAGCTCTTCAAAATGTCCAATACGCTGAAAAGCATCATTGTTAAGCCCATTTTCCTCAGGATGAAAGGTAATAATTTAATTCTCTAGTTGATGTTTTGTATTGTGGAATATTACATGTTTTTGGCAGTGTTTAAATCTACGTGCCACTAATTTCTAACGCTTATAACACAAAGCAGATCTTGTTCTAAAACTGAGCATCTCCTGGGAGATTTTAGTTTTGGAATTACATGTGCTGAGTTTATTCTGCTTGCCTATTAAATTTACAGCCTTTTGGCTTTAAATTTGTTGAATGTTTATCTCTACAATTAAGAAATTAGGAAGCTTTGGAGAAAACTCCCAGCGGTGGCTTCGCGGTGGGCATCTATTGTTTTTTTTTTATTCTGCTTGGACCTAAGCACAATTTTTAGTGTTTTTATTTAATAATCGAGACTTCCTGAAGTTTCTCTCGTAATTTGAGCAGGTGTTTGCCTAGGACTTGATTCGTTCTTCAACGTGATTAGTAAAAATATAAGTTTGCATTTTCTAAGGCATTATCGTCAAACTTCAAAATTAGCATACAGGTATGACAAGACCTCATCGATAAAGTGGATCATGTTTCCTAATTTAGAAAGTTAAGTTGTCAACAATATTTCTGAGTTACACTGGTTCCAATTTAGGAGCAGAACACGGAAACTGAAAGTCATTCTTGGTACCGCTTTCCTCATGAAGTTTAGAAGCTGCTCATGGCGGAAAGTGACCCCTGTTCTCAGTCTCCTAATTTATCACACTCTTGGCGTGTATTATTTATTTTCCTTAATGCTATCTCGGGCGTGATTGCCCTCGGTGGAAACTCGGTCATACTGTTGTCCATTTATAAAGTGCGTTCTCTTAGATCAAGACCTTCTAATATCTTCCTTGCGTCTTTGGCTTCTTCAGATGCGTTGGTGGGCCTGTTGGTGTACCCGACATACATCGTCTTAACAGCAAAAAATTTATGGTTCGGCCGCAATGTGGTGTACAGGATGGAAAACTTTTTGTGGATTCAGAGTTTGGCAACATCCACTTTCACGCTGTGTGCCATAAGCGTCGATAGACTGATTGCAGTCACACTTGCAATTCGTTACGGAAGCATAGTGACCAAAGGCCGTTGTTGGTATGTTGTCTTCTCAATTTGGATCTCTTCCATATTGTTTGCATGCTCGGCTATATTTGATCACAGCATTGACAACCAGTCCATTCTGTGGATAACGTGCCTTGGCTTGACTTTCGTGCTGCCGTTCGCAATCATTACTTATTGTTACGCTCTCATATTTCGAGCTGCTAACGAACAAAAAAAAAAGGTCAGTCATCTCAATCCGGCTGAGGCAACCGAAATGCTTAAAAACAAGAAAGCGGCGTGGACTGCGGGAATAGTAATAGGGATTTTTTTCATTACGTTTTTTCCAAACGTAGTGTTTTCATCTATAGATGTAGCTACCAAGAATCCATGTGAGAAGAATAAGGTTTACCGACACTGGTTGTGGGGAATTTTTTTGGCTTTCAGTAGTTCAGCTTGGAATCCTTTCGTGTATGCCGCGAGAATTAGAGAATTCAAGCAGGCGTTTAAAAAAATTGTCATTTAAAATTAAGAGATTTAATCTGTTACTTGTTTGAGAAATAAAGTGTTGTAACCTGTCTTCCTTTGGCTCTGCTTGATAAAAGACTGAAAAGTTATAAGTAGATGAAAAATCGTTTAAAAGAAAGACGAAATCAAATTTCAGTTCTTTTAATAACTATGTGCTGTCAATATTCCGTTTGAAGAATTAAACTTAAGACAAGTAATTATGCATATAACAGCAAAGAGCAGACGGAAACCACCTTTCACAGACACTTTTTTAGGACATTTAATTTCTAGTCGTATTAACATAACAATCAGTCTTTTGGATCCAATGTTAATACCTTGCATCTTGATAAGCGTTTAAAGTTCTTGTTGTTTGCAGTGGCTTCACAAGCTAACAAATATCAATAGCTAACGGTCCTACTGAACAATGCATTTTCTTAAAGCTATTTTTTTTTCTCTTTATACAAATAGTTATTTTCAATCCTAAAATGATTGTGATTGTTAGTCGTCGTGCAATAATGATTGCTTCACGCTTCGACCACTGATTGAAACTCCTAGGAGGAGGGGGTGGGGGCCCTTGGGTCAATTTTTGAGGATATGTGCCATTTGCCTCTCAGAATCCCTATCTCATTACAGTCTATTCTGTGGCCAATTACAGACCCCATCTAGGTCACATTTGGGTAAAACGCAAAAAATTTTCTCTACCCCAAAATCCCGAAAATGTGCAACCCCATTCTGGTAACTCTTAACCCTTTAGGCCCTAAGAGTGACTAGCATCTAATTTATCCTTACTATCTCACCCCTCAATCAAACATGAAAGTCATGAGAATAGGAGAGATGATCACCAATTAAAGCAGCTCTTGATTGTTAAACAAATTGTCCTTGTCAGCCTCTTTAGAAATGTATGGAGAACAGTATGGAGAATATGCATACTGATGTTAGGGTGTAAAGGGCTAATAATGCCACCCAATTACAGTTAATCCAGTTGTGAAAATGCGACACCATCAAGTGGTGTTGGCAATTTTAAACCACCCCCCTCCCCCCCCCCCCCCCCCCACCCCTTCATTCAGCTGAAGAGTATTGTGAAAAAAGCTGTTTATTCAGATTTTTTTGATAGGATGGTAATACTTTTATCGACTCGTCTCGCAATAATTCATGGGTTGATCATCAGGAGGAAATTAGTACGAGTGGTTGAGATCTCTCCCGTACCTATAATTCATTTTTTTTTGTTAGATAGTAATATTCATTGCCTATCTGACTGTCCTATCACGGATGTTTCTGAAAACACCACTTGGTCTTGAGTGTTATCGCATTTGGTGACAGAGTAGGTAGCTTAAGTCTAAAGTTCGTGCGATTAAGATCGCGAGCAGTCAACGATTACTGTTTATCAATCAAGTCTTATCAAGAAACTCTGGCAGATGGAACGATAGACAACTAGAAAGGAAAAAAGTTAAACTATGCGACGTCCTTCTGACACTTTTCCATCGTTCGTTTATTTATTAATTCGTTCGGCTGTTCCCATGAGCTTGTGTTCATCATGTTTTCGTTTTATCGTCGATTCTTTCGTCCATTAGTAATATTCGTAATTCGTTGATTCGTGCGCTCGTTCATTCATCTATTCTTCCGTGTTTTTTTTTTTTCCTACCTTCGATCATTTCCTCAGATAACTCTTTACCTGATGTACTTGATGGTTAGATTAAATAAATTCAATCTTGATATTTCCCATGCCCCTTCATTAATTTTTACTTCGTACGTGCCTCCCTGCGATAGTCTCTATTTGATATCTCGATTTTGATCATTTTCAAGCACTGTGCATACATTCGCCTTGGCCTTATCACGAGAAGTCAAGCTACCACCTCCTCATGTTCTCCCCAATTACGTCGCCCCCAGACTGCGTCAACTTGCCCACAAGGGAGGATACACACATGCTCTCTGAACTTAGTGGGTGATTACTTAAATAAAAAAAATTAAATTAAAAAAAAATTAAAAAAAAAAATTGAACCCGAAACATAACCCAAATATCAACTCGAGGGCTATTTTAGTTGGTGATCACTTCTTTACTCTTGTAACCTCAATATGTGATTCAGGGGTGATGCTGTGAGGAGAAATTGGACACAAATCACTCTTAGGGAGTCAAAGAAAGGATACGTTGAAATGCCAAGTTTTTTAACATACATGTATCATCGAAGGGTTTACTTCTTTGTTCATACGACCCTTAGAAACGAAAAAAAAAAAAAAAAAAGAGAAAGGCGTATTAACCCTGTACACCCTAACATCAGTATGCATAATCTCCATACTGTTCTCTAAACATTCCCTAAAGTGCTGACAAGGAGAATTTGTTTAACAATCAAGAGCTTCTTTAGTTGGTGATCATTTACGTTAGTCTCGTGACCTTAATGTTTGATTCAGGGGTGATTTGGTAAGGAGAAATTAGATGCCAGTCACTCTTAGGGGTTAAAGGGTAACAGGTTTACATTTTATTGTTCTATTTTAGCAAAACCACAGTACCAGCAAACTATTATTTTCAGTAGCTACCTTATCATCCATAAAACTTCAACACAGATGAGATCTACATCCCAATTCAAAAGCAGAAACTCAAGTATGACTGTTATAGCATCACAAGCAAAGAATATACATTTCTCCCAGGTATTTAAGATCAAAGGAAAAAAAACTTTAAGTACACAAACAAGCCAACCTCAATACAGCATGTAGTAATCAAATATTTAGTGCTCCACATGTGGGTGGAACTTTAACAAAGCAGCAATGTCACAAAATCAACATTTATTCTCCATAGTTTCCAACAATATTCCACCCTTGAAAGAGGCTATGGCTGTTAGAATAGTATCAGTGGTTACAAATAAACAACTAAAGCTGTACTGTACAGTGATAAATAACTAAAAATCACACAAAATTTCCCTTTCAAGCCAAGAAAGAAGAGAATCAAGCATTGAATGTTAATCAATGACCGAGAAAAGATAGCCATAAATTCCTTTCAGAACTTCTTTTCTCTCACATACAGCTAGGGGCATATAGTTTTATGGTATGTGTAGTACAAGTAACCCTGTGACTAAAAAAAAACTATTTCATTACTTGCACTTTGACTGCATGTCACTGTATAAGTGCAGACAGCAGAATATTGACATTGCTATTTTTTTGTGTGGAGAATCCAAGGCAAAAAGTACCACACTGTGCTATAATGTTCATATGAGACAACTGTCACGTATCAAATTCACCACTATTGTTCTGTTTTTGCTTGTCATTTTCATTTTCTTGTATTTTCAACTCCTCATCTAGTCGTTCTTTTGCTCTGTATACCTACAGTGAGGTGAAGACAAAAACAGAAACACACTTTACCCTGTTTACTTACATGTAAATGTTTTATTTTCATTTTTCAAATGTTGAGGAGGGGGAGGTTGGTTTTTGGCTATTTGTTTGTTTTTTTCCTGTTTGAGTGGTTTAGTTGTTAATGTTGTAGTTATTTTGGTGCAATCTTAATATCTGTACCTTTGATTGTAGGTAGAATGATCCTCCTGCCTTCTTTTCATTAATTTTGAACAGATGATCATAATTCTGTAAAACATGTTAAAAATTAGTAAAGATGTTATATGTCTTGTCACGAGCATGGAATTAAAAAAGAGTTGAATCCTCATGATGAATTGAACCTCAGACCTACAGATTCTGCACTCCAATGCTCAACCCAATGAGTTTAAAGATAATTATGCAGTTAACCTGGAAAATCTTAATTGTTTTTTATCAAAGTCTGAACGAAGACAAAGATTAACTGTATTATACTCCTGAGACAAAAACATAGGTCTACTTTCTTCTGCTTTAGCATGACCAAAACCTTCACAAAACAGAAACAGTCAGCCCAGATGATGAAATTAAGAGTGTACATTTTTAGGGAAAAAAAGTATCCCTTGTTTCAAAACAATGAAAACTGCTTCAATTAAAAAAAAACGTAATATGCTTTTAAGTGTTCTTTCCCTGTTTTCATCTTTTCTCTACCTTTAAGGTGACTCAATTTTCATCATTTGCAATAATTCTGGATTTCAGGTTTCAAAAAGTAATCTTTGAAAGCAGCATTTGACATAGAAGTGCATCCTAAAGAAATTAATGGTATTTGTTGGATGGAGACCAGCACCTTTTGAGTTCAGTCTCCGTAAAATACCATAATGTACCCCCAACCCCCCCATGATAAGCACACTTTATTACCCTAAGCAGTGCTAGAACATAAAAATCTACAATCCAAATGAACCACGCAAACCACTCAGCTATAAGATCTCTCAAATTTGTCTTCCAAATTGGAAATGTGAGGCAAATATACTGTACCTTTGTAATTAATTCTGAGTTCAGATCTTGAACATTGAGGATCTGTTTAGCTTCCTGTCAATAAATTTTTGATACAACAAAAATATAAATTAAATCCTCATCTCCTTACCATACATGTATGTAAAAAGCTGGTCACCACTTTCAAGAAATCATTGGATGGGTTTATAGACTACATGTAAACAAGATTTTTTCAAGAGGTCTCTCATCTTACAGAGGTGATTTGATTGGCTGGAAAATGTACCACATACTTTGTAACTAAGTTTTTAATTATTTCCTGAACACTATGACGTATTCATTGAACATACCATGCACAATCCTTTTCAATCAAGAACACATCCAGCATATGAGCAATAGGTCACCCTTTAAACCTTAGGAGTGACTAGCATCGAATTTCTCTTTTCAGTAATACTGCTGAATCATCCATTTGTATTATGAGAATAAAGAAACAAAGAGCCAACCTAATAAGCTTTCATTGATAAATGAATTCTCCTTTTCACAATTAAAGGACACATAAGTCTAGAAAGGTATGGAGAAAATGGTTACTGATGTTAGGACGTGTAAGGTTAACTTGAGAATTAAAATGACAAAGTTGCAGTACCTCTAAACTCAGTCCCATAACACTGTTTGAGGCTGCTCTTTTAGCACCTTCTTGGGCACCCTTTGATGCTTTCTGAGCTGCAGCTCCACCTGAAAAAGAAGGTAGTAAATGAATATAGCTTCCTCTCATGACAGACACTTATCAAATGAATGCAAACAGATCAACAACCAGACTAAAAACTTGTAAATGAAACAAGTCTCGTGACTACAACAGTGTGGTCTCTGAAACAAACAGTAGGATTACCCTCTTTCCTAACTATTTCAATTTACAAAGAATACTAAATCATGAGAATGAGTTAGTGTTGAACAATTTTAGTCCATAATGACATGTACACCAGCAGTAAACAAATTATTTAACTGAAATTCCATGAGTGTGCCTTGGATATGAGATGGTAAAAAGCCACCAACAAGTCGTGTAGTGCCGAGTGAGCTGCAGATGTGTAAAGCCAAGTGAGCTGTGTCAAATCTCATATCCAACAAGTGAAAATGGAATAATTGTGTCATTAATTTTTATTGAATCCTGAACATTTGGATATTTGGAGCCTTTATCATCTCTGCAACAGTTGGTGTGATGCCATTCCATTTTAGGTGACTAGGAATATGAGCTGATAGCTGAAGTTTAGCAAACCAATCAGAACTCTATAAATGTAGTTTTCAGAGTTGAAAATTTAATAATATGTGTTAAACATGAGTACGATTGCAATCTTAACAATTCCTTTCTTCAATGTAGAATTCTCAGTCAGAATATTTTGAATATTAGAGGATAGAGCCAACTACCCTCACTTTGCCGGAATTTTGAGTGTATTTCCGACGCAAAGCTTTTTAACAAACCAATCCCCAAAATCGACTATTTTCAAGGGGGGTACACCCACGTTGCTAAAATGACGTAAAAGTGCACATTTATATCAAGAAAGCATGTCTTCGCTCAAAATGCTTCATTATGTCACGTTAAACCAATATCTATGATACCTACATGTACTTAATGGGCCAGCAATAAAGTTATACCAACGTTTCAATAGAGATAGTAATAGAGAAACCGTAAAGTGCGTTTTAAACGACTGCAAATATGGATTTATTGCATCACTTACTTTGAAACTCCTGACGCAGGGCTTGTGCAAACGCTCGTCCGATAACTTGACCCCCGAGAATGATGATTTGGGCAATAAATCTCGCCTGAGAAGAGAGTATGGTTCATTAACCATGAGAGCACAGACTTTAACTCTGGAAATACGAAAAAAACTCACCATTTTTGAAAGGGATGATCGAACTACTCAATACACGATCATTCCGACATGTTTTTTACGCAATAAGTTCCCAGATTACCGCGGTTCTAATGTAGATTCCAGTCCTTTGCAAGATTCTTAAAGCTGATATTGGCGTGTAAGAACCCGCGAAATGCAACCTTCGCCTCATTCCATCTTAAAGACCGTTCATTTTACCTGATCCCCCGATAAGGCTATGAAATATTCAAATGTTTCTCCTTCCCCCGCTCATAAACACTTAATTGGCAATCAATTCTCTATAGTCCCCTTTATGCTATGTTAGCGACGACTGATCCCGAGAGGGCGTTGGATATGAGTTGGCAATAAGCAATCTCGTATCCCCTAAGTGCAAATGAAATACATGGTTTATTGGATCTCATTAGATCCTAAACTTTTGGACATTTGGGTCTTATTTTCAGCTCCCATCAGATAGGACATAAGCTGACTTGGGATATGAGCTGATAACCGGAGTTGAGTGAACTAACCAGAACACTAGAAATGCAACATTCGGAGTTGAAAATTCAATTGATTTACTTACACCACATACAATCTCTTGCCACACGTTGCATTTCCCACTCAACCCTAATTTTGCAATTATGTATCATCTACGGGAACTTGTCCTGAATTATCAAGAGCTGGTTAACAATTCCACATTTTGTCTCTTCATGAGCTCAACGGGTCGAAAAACTTTCTCGGGCTCCGTTTAAACAACGCTGAAGAAATTTGATAAAAGAACTTCATTTATGCGATTTGACTCGATCACTGTCCTCATCAACCCGGAACTAACATGACGCTGTTAGCCACCGCTTATGTTACCTCTTTGTATTCTTTTTTCCTTTATTTTATTGTGCGTATTAGGTTTTAGATCGTTTACTTCTTTCTGTTATCTTTTGTCTCTTTCTATCAGTTTTGTCGTTAGTGTTTATCTATTTTTGCTTTTTGTTGTTTTTGTTGTTTACTTGTTTTATTTGCTCTCATCGTATGCATTTCTAAGGGATATGTTCAAGCTTATCTACTGATAGTGCTTCAATATACAATAAATCCGGCATAGTATGAACGGTGAATATTTCATTCGTTTGTAATATTTCATTCGTTTTGTATTGTGGAAAGAAAAATTGCAGGGCGTTTTGAGACTAAAGACTCCCTTTTTTAATTTATTCGGCTCAGTGTAAATGTGTCCGTAAGGTGCTTTAGGAGGAGAATGGTTTCCTGCAAGAAGAGCCAGTTGGCTAGCTGATCGACATTCAGTCAAGGCATGGTCTCATTTTCATTTCTGTCCATTTTAAGGAGGTATTAAATCCCCTCCAATGTGCCCAGATGATACCATCGTGTGCTGGTGCAATCGGTGTCATATAGTATTTGCCGTTAAGATTTGATCGAATGGAGGCACCATACCACCACGCCCCGTGATACATTTTTGCACATTCTTCATCATGGCAGTCACCATTATTGTGGTCCTTGGTGGAGTAAGGTAAACCATCAGAATGCAAAAGATTGTTGAGTCTTGTCTCGTGATTGTCTGGGCGATCGATGAAGATGATGTTATTTTTGAAGGATGCAAGTGGCCTGTCGAAGGACTCGCCTTTCTGTAAGCGTTTTTTAGAGTTTCCTGCAAAGACGATATTGTTTCAAGGTTTATGTTTGACACAAAAGTTTTTTTTTGACATGAATCAACCGGCAGGGCCGATTACCAAAATAAAAAGGTCAATGTCGAGTAAAGAAAAGTAAGACAATGCTAATGCTAGAGATATGGTAGCTCCATCTGGTTAGAAATGGAGGAATAATTATGGATTTTATCAGAGTAAGATAAAGTCTTTTCAATCATTAGTCTCGGAAATATCATCAGATATGATCGATGATGTGGGGAAATTGTGAAAGAAAACAAGTACTACTTTGGGCTTCCAGTTGTAAGATGAATAGTTAAATCAATTATTACCCAGTGAAAATCACTATCATTTATCATTTCAACTGCACAAAAAAATCATATACACTCTTTGCAACCTTATTCTCCAACCTATTAAATAACAAGAGTTGTGTGACAATTTGATGGTCTGAAAAGACTCTTACACATGCTAAACAACAAAGAACCAGTAAGGCTGATATTTAACAGTGAGGGTAAAAAAAAAAAAAGCCTTTTCTTTTCAGGAATAAGACTTATAGTTGCAAAAAAAGGTATAGACACAAGTTGCATATAGCATAAGCTAGTTGAGGCAAGTTGTGTGGAGAGAACAAAAGATTGATAATTTATACCAGTAGTAAGCTTCTGGTACTAATGACATTCTCTTGAATGCCAGCTTGCCACAGCAAATGTCACACCTATCCTTTCTGTCAATAGTACTGACCATATGTAGTGGGGTCGCTTCACATCTCCCTAAACAGCAGAGAACACAATAGTTAATTCCAATCATCAGTCTCAATTAAGAAATAAAAATTGAAGGATCAAGACTTATCTGGCAAAGAGAAATACAAGTCAAACTGGTTTGAAGACATTTTAACCCGAAATTCGTTTTCAAATATGACAGAAATACTGTAGTTCACATTCTAAAGAAAGAGAGTTCCAGCCCCTTGAGTAATTATTCATTTATTGTATCGCTCACCTCATGTTTTAAGAACCAGAGAAAGTTAGATAATTTTAATCTGCGAGTTTTATAGTACACTTCGACTCAAAATTCATTTCGTATGGCAGAAGTATTCTACTGAAATAAACAAGACAGAATGAAGCTGACGCCATCCGTTTCGAATAACACATGAACATGAAGAAAACGGCACCAGTTTAAACTCATGAGACAAAGCCCACGGATTTTTTGAGGTAAATGAACTGGTTAGACCGAAGGCTAAATAAATAAACAATGAACTGACAGTGGTGAGAGATTTGGGGGCCATGTGATAAAACAAGTTCTACCGAAGTTCTTCAAGCCCAAAAGGGCAATCAGAAAAATTCTCACCAAAACACAGCAAAAAAAATTAGATAAAACCGCAGATGATCGAGGCAAGACTATAAACGTTGTTAAGACGCATGCCTACGTACCAAGTACAACAGACTTGGAGAGCAAAATGGCCAAAGACAGTTGTGAGCCATGACTTTGAAAATCCACCTCAACCTCCCAAAAACGAATTCGCCGAAGGTTATAGAAAGAGCAACTCAATCCTGAAGCTGGAACATTTTTTTTAAGCCTTGTGTCCAATGGGACAACAAAGAGAAAGAAGATAAGATGTTATTTGAAGTGATTTGAAGCTTGGGGCCACCTCGAACTTAACGTAATTTTATTTCAAAGTTGAAGTAAAATAAGATCCAATTGTAAACTACCTTCTATTATCGTAACGAATATCTCACGATCGCCTCACACATCACTTCGTGATTTATTCAAGGTTTGCCAGTGTCTCATGTGCACATCTTGATCGTCAGCCAAATCAAATCTCAAACTTCAAGTTTTCGAACTTTGATCATTAAAATATCCTCATCCGAAGAGCCAGCAAACTCCACAAGTATCCACAGAGTTAGAAATGGTAGTAAACTTGTCATACTCTTCCATTCCAAAAAATATCACAGAAAGGTGTCGATCGCTCAGTTGAAAACCCGCAAAAGCGCGCTGAAAATATCAAAATGGCGCCGAACGCGCCGAACAAATTTTCTTGGCGCATGCGCAACAAAATGCCCCTCTGCTGGCTAAGGGTCATTCATCTCCTTCCGCCAAAGAATAAACAAGCATGGAGGAAATTGCAAAGCTCTTAAAAGAGTAATTTTCTCCCGTCTTGAATAATAATTGTTAATTTTTATTTTGAGAGGAGAAAGAATCCCCTCTTTATTCTTAGTTGAATCCCTTGGAGGTATACAATGTAGTTTGTTGCAGTGGCATACATCGTGTACTTTTTCAAAATCTACGGCACATATCTTAAAGCTAAATTTACCCCGCTCCTGATATCAGCTAGCGTCATTTAATTATATACCTGAATACTTTCCAAGGTCGTGAAGCTCGAATAAGTTTTCTTCGCTTGACACTTGAAATCTGTCGTACATGGCGTGCGCTGAGGCTCCATTAAAATCACCCAGATTTACGAGCAAGATAGTCCGTTTCAGGGACGTCAGTCGGTGTATTTTGTCAAGACCGAGCCAAAACTCGCCTGTCAAGTTACCAAATCCAACTCTGTAACTCGCCCAGTCGCGGAAGAAGTCAACCAAGCCAAGGAACCGCTTTTGGAAGACAACCCACCCACCACCGTTTGTCTGTTGATCGCAGAAGACTTCAAACTCGTTTTTTCCATCAGGGTTGATTGTATAGACTCCACTTTGTGTTGTTCCCGCTTGCAACAACTCGTGGCAGTCTGTAAAGCCTATCAAGGAAAAATGAATCATCACAGCAAGAAAAAGAACACACACGATAAAAACTGCACAAGCTATGGCGACTTGTGAAATGAGTTGGAGGATGATTTATGATGATTTGGAAGGAGCTACACTACTGAAAATACATAACAAAACGGAAAACAGTAAAAAAAGTAATAATAGTATGAAAGAAATAGTAATACATCAGCTCAGCTGGTGGGAGAGTTTCAAGGTAATTCAAATAAAAGTGATGTTATTTTTACCAACATAAAAATTTTAATTTCGCTCGAGGTGGTGTGGCGTTATAACATCGATTGCGGGTAAAAGAAGGTAAATAAACATGAAATCGAAAATATTTCAGTGCTACCTTTATCTTGCACCGCACTTTTGTATGGCACTATTCCGTTTGCTTCCTGAAAAAGGGAGAAAAACGTGAAGGATGTGAGACTTTTACCGTCTCTTCTGTCGAATTCAGTCATTCAGCGGTCAGTTATTTAGTTTGACATTTCAGCTACACAGTTTACCTCAATAAGACAAAGTTCGTTTTTGATCATTCATTTTATGTATTCCTTCATCTTAGAGGCGGGTAGGAATAGTTTACATGGTCACAGCACCGAAAGGTGATTGGTGATTTCAATCGCCCACCAGAGAAGGAAACTCAATTGTACTGTTGCGCTCTTGTTAATTGTAAAATAAAATCCCTTATAGCAAAAAATTTATAGCAAAACAGGGCACTCTTTGACATACCTTACTGCTGAGTTTTATTCTGTGAAACACATAACCAGTTTGGTACACAAGATGACTCGTATCACACTCGCCAAGATATTTTCCTCCGCTGATCAATTCACATACACTTCCTCTTCCTTCCGTATCTGTCAGCGAGTTGTAGTTATAAGACACGCATGTCTCACTTCGGCTACAAGCTTCTAAACAACTCAGCCAATCTAAGTCGAACAGCGTTTGCGAAATGAGACCCTTAAATGCATGACTGGATATCGAGCGAAACATGAAACAATTCACTGCTTCTAGACCGAAAGAAAATGTTAACACAAGAGACAACACTACTGAAGAATCCATGGCGATAGAGAGTTTTAAAGAGTATCAAAATTTTTTTTTCTAGAGAGAAGCGAAAATTTACTTTAGATGATATCAACTTCCTTTCACAAAAAGTTTCTTTCGTTTTCTAGACACTTTTTGGGGCGCCTAATTAATGTTCTTTAAAGAAAAATATCTTTTGACATGTACTTAACAAGGTGTCACGTACTTTGTGTTGTTTTCATTGGTCCACTGTGAGTCTAACGCTATTTATCTGTCTTCCGGTCCAATCTGCAAAATATAATGACTGTTTTTCAAGCGCGACATAATCTATGCTTAATTTAGTAAAATAATAGAAGAGCGATTTGAAGCTGTGTCCTATAATGACCAGGTAAGATCCACTCAAAAAGGTCTCCTTAGTTATTATTAATTTCAGAGATTCTTTTCTTTGCGTCTAAGTGAAAACTACATTATGTTTCAGAGGAGCGTCGCGTTTTCAATAAAAATTAATTACCTATCCTTTCAAAAGAGTACCGGATGAAAAACAAAAAACACTTCACTCCATACTAATTTTTAATTTTGGGACTTTTGAGTGACGGCGATGTCTATTGTCATCTGATTACTTTTTAAACTGATAAAAAAAACTTGACACCAAAATTTATCAAAACTACCAAGAAATTAACGTTAACCGTAAAATTTTACAACATAAGTGCTTACTATCTTTGTGTCCTATTGCTTTTTTAAAGTGCTGTTAGTTTGGGTTTTTACTGTTATTAATACTTATTCTGAGATGACTTGACTTGTCACTTCACTACTTCCTTTTTTACCCTTGAATAAACATGACACAAAACCCCATATAATTAAAAAAAAAAAAAAAAAAAAAGAAGAAGAAACAAACGAACAAGTTTTTCAGCCTTTGAAGAAATTCGAATTTTTTTTTTTTTGTGTTGTTTTTTGTTTTTTTTTTTTTTTAAGGTGAAATTCTAATTTGCGTGTCCTTGGTCCTTGATAATTTGCGTGGTATTCTTCATTTTCGAGTTGCTTTCTTGGTGACTCAGTCTTAGGCAACTCTCTGATTTTCATCTCAGTCGTACGTCGGCATCTTCGATGCGTGGCATGAGAATAAAACTGCTGCAACCAGCTTTGTTTGACATTGCATATAGATCAAACTTCGACTCGCTACTTTAAATATTCTCAGGATTCAGGCTTCCGCATAAGAGGAAAAGTCCTTCCCCAAGTTATCGAGTACTTTGTCGAAATTTACTTCAGGGGGTTTGTTCCTATCCTCGTCGAGGGTTTTTTTCCATCTTCGTCCCTACCACGGAGCATCTTTCAAGAAAATCATGTTTAAGGGAAGGAGGAAGTTTTTAAGGTTAAGACAAGAAAACAGGGCGTCAATGTCATAAATCGTGACTCATTTGCTAGAAAACGGATCCTTTTGTGACGATCCTTTTTTTTTCGCTGCTGGGGCTATTAACTGGAAACTAATTAAGTAAATGAACAACTTAGGGAAACTACACTCGGGGTACTTGCTTGGCTAACGGGAGGCCAAAAGTCTATCGTTATCATCTTTAGTTCCGGATAATGGGGCAAGTTGTGGCGAATAGACCTTGGACAAACCAAGAGAAACTTCACAGGAGTTGCATTCACTCGTTGTTCATGGTTCATAAGACTCTCGAATGCACAATGGCAATAGAAGTTTGAAGTTATAATTTTTATACTGATTAACAGCCATGCGAACAATATATTAAGTGAGAAAACAGTAAACATCACTGACGAGTTCAAATCATCAACGGTAAAAATCAATATTTACCAATACGTGTTTCAGTTGTGTTATCGAAAGCTGTAGAAAGTTCGGCAAAGAAATGAAAGTTTTTGAGGTATTTTGTAATTAAATTGTGATTTTCGTCCTTTTTTCAAATTTACGAATTCAGATAAGACTTCCATTGGTACGTGCTTAGATTGTGTACTGACCTTGCCTTAGAACCAGTTGTCGATCATTTAAGAAATTATTGCGGACGTGATTGAGTTATTTTTTTATTGGCGAAAAATTTTTATTCCTCCATGTTCTCAGAATTGATCAGCATCCTCACTCATGCTTATACCGATAGTGAATACATGTTTATGTACTATGGGGTTCGCAGTAGGAGAGTCGATCAGAGGTAAAGAAAGAGAGTCGACCAGAGTTAATCAGAGATAGGAATAGTGTCGAAGAGAGTCGACCAGAGTTAATCAGAGATAGGAATAGTGTCGAACAGAGTCGACCAGTCAGTCAGAATTTAAGGACAAGAACAATGATCGAAGTAAATTTTACCCGATGTCAAACTCACAATAAACTTTGCGCATGGAGACAAGTTAATCGGTAGATTTTACTCCATATTTTTTTTTTCCAAACGAGAACTTACGCTTCCCGTGTATCAGCATTACCCAAATCCATTTCTAATAAAAGAGCGGCGAAAAAGCAATTATCTCTTTCTAAGATAGTTTTTTTAGACGTCAAAACAACCTTTCGCCATATTTTTCCTTTTAGTGAGTTGAAATGTTTGCCCCGTGGCGATCCCAGAAATCTGGATCCGACCATTGGCAACTCATTCATTTCTGGATCATTTTCGTTGCATCGAATTCCAGAGGTCGCATTTATGTATAAGACCTTAACTTTTATGTCGTAAATGTTTGCATGTATTTCTTAGGATTACTGAACATTATTATATAATTAAACTGTCCTCCCTTGAAGGCTGTGATGTGCGACATCTATCGATTTGCCGATCACGCGATTTCATTCTTATTTCTTGCGTAAGACTGGCGGAAAATGACCTTCAGATCATGTTTTCGTCGAAGAGAGAAAGCCCTAAAATTCATCGAAACTCACAGTTAACGATCGGAACAAAAATTTTCTGCATATCGAGCTGTAATAAGTTTACATCAATCACAAACGGCGCGAAGGAAACAACTACTGACTGTCGGCTTTTAGCGCGACGCGCTCCGTTCCTGTCTACTACGGGGGAACAATGCGAGTTTGACACAAAGGACTTCAGTACCCGTTCGTGGTTTTAAAATATACAATTTGCTACTGTTTTTCACCTACACGTGGCGGTGTAAAGTTCATCCTTCATTGTCTCAGCAAACATGATATTTTGTCGAGTTCCATACCTTCTACTCACCAATGTTGATCCAACTAAGGCAACGCTGTGTGTTCAGTTTAATTTGTGAGATACCAGTTGAACGAGAAAATCTAAGATGAAGTTCACAATTTTCAAAGTTTTTTTCTTTGGGGTATTTTTGTCTGAGGTGCTAGGAACGAAGAATCTGAGGGATAACACAACATCTCTGCTGAAAAAATGCCCAGAGAATCAATGCCTGGTAAGAGAAATACGAGAGTACCTGAGTGTAATGTATCGCCTGAAATCTCGTAAGTGGTTCAGTTTGGTTTCATACAGGTCATCTCGAACTTCTTGTAACGCGCAAATTATGCTACCTAAAATAAAATCTGAGTGTGAAAGTAATTTATTGCGCACAATTAACCCAGATTTCTCAAGCAACACCAAACGTGAGAAACATATCTGAATCTTTATCAGTAAACATTTCAATCAATTAGATGAGTTCGTGTTTCTGTTATGAACAGTCATGCAGTGAATTTTCGCCCCAAAGTAATTTAATATCATGTTTCAATTTTTGTGTGCCATCACAAAGAAGAGTATCATGCTAAATGGCGAATACTCGGACGTTCTCTACATGTCCCTAACTAGATATGACGATGAATTTTGTCTATTCGAACGACTTGCTTTGCTTCTTTGGTTTTATATCTTGTTGATAATGTTTGCCTCTTGAACGTTTTAAGACTGAAGCCATTGTTTGTCTCTCTGGAAGCAAACCCAGGGGAAAGGGAAATTCATGTAAGAGATGACGTAAACTTTAACCTATAAACAATGTACAAAGACCACAAAAGGAGGAAACTAGGTTTACAGTAAGTTAATGTCAAGGAGATGTTCACTTCTACATGTGCGTATGCTATTTTTGCTGCTTGTGTCTTACAGTAAAAGCTGTTCTTCAAATTCAAAACAAGAAAACTTAAAACCCATACAAACGCGTTGAAACGTGTATGATGTGGAAAATTACTCTCAAAAATGAATGCGTCCAATGCACCTCCACAAGCGTGTATGTTCACAATTTTTCACAGTCTGTGCAAAAAAAGCTTCGGAAGGTGCGCACGTGTAGCACAAAAACACTTCGCTCCTATGGAATTCAAGAGCCAGCACATTTGGTTTTCTTTACCTGATAAGCGATTGATAAGCGACTGATTTTCAGATACTTTATTTACAAGCGTTATGCACTCACCATTCGTGGCTTTCTTGATTGAAGCGACGCGGCGCACAAACTCTTGATACTCTTCAAAATGGTCAGGGCTTGATTTAAACCAGCAGGGTCATAAGCCCTATCATTAATGTCACCCTCCATCGAGGCCTGAAATCCGAAGAATCAGACCACGAAATTGAATTGCTCTCATTTGACTTACTATCCGCCGTATTTACTTTGCTGAGTGTGCACACGCGTGACGTATCAGGTCACATGGTCAAATTCGAAGCTTTTAAGGCGAATAACTCACGAAGCTGTATTTAGGACAGTTTTCAGAGCGAAAAAAGGCACGATGACGTGTCACCTGAGGCCTTAAGACAGTATTCCGAAAAAGCGAAAATTAGCTGTCAGTTGCCTTTTTAAAATTCTTAAGTATGACCAAGCTATGGAAGATGTTCCATACGCAATCAATTCAAAACTTGTCACTGATGCACCTTTATCAATAAGCGAACATACAAACAAATAAAGGAAAGATACACATCACTTTCAAAATACTTAGTCGATAGCCTTATGAAAAGAGTGCAGAATACTCATGAGAGTGTTGCATAAAGATCCCTTTAACCTCAGTCTTATTTTTAAATATCTTTTTCTACAGGCAATAGCGACAGATTGAAAGTTTTGGAAGACGAGGTTAGTAGTCACTACTAGATAACTAAAATTCCTTTCAAGTTGCGTCGCTACACCTTCCAAAATATTTGAGAACTAGAGCATAAGTTCATAGAGCATAAGAGAAGTTTGAGACATTTTGCATTTGTTAGTCGGAAATCTATGAATAGGCTCAAAACCTTCTCTTCAATTCTCAAGTTACAATTTCGACCTTTGAGCATATAAGAAAAAAACCTCCTTGTCGGTACCTGGCTCGGTTCCACTTAGCGTTCCAGATTAGCTTTTATAGCGATTTCATCAAACGTTTTACTTTTCACTCGCTTTTTAGCTTTTATTCAAAGTTTTGTAGGGAGGTGCGCATGGCGAAAAAGTTTGCTTAAATGCTATTGCTAAATTTATGCTGACATGATGGTAGAAGGCAAAAGGAGCAACGACAAAAAACGCCTTGAGTATAGTTTATGTATTTCAAGCAGTAAATTAGCAAATTAAACTTCTAGATCCATAGAATTTGTTATTTTATTTTCCGTTGTGTTTTTATTAAAGTTCGTTGCTTCTCTGAATCCTGCCAGGTCGAAAAACTGAAAGGTTTACTTCAGAAGGCAGGAAAACCTAACGGCTTCGCCTTGCTCGACAGTACCGGCCATCTGCCCCAGAAACTCCTCGTGGCGGGTTACGACAAATACTCCATGTACGACTTGGGGTGGTAGGCTCTTCATATGGCGGCTACCGCTGCCTGCAGGGGCAGCACAAGTTCAGGGGGGACTGGTTGTTGTGAAAACGTTGTTCTTGTACGAAACAGAGCTGACAGGAAGACCTGCACTCAGATCTGTGGTCAGACTCAATATAAAAACTGTGATGCAGAGGTGTCCATTCATGGCAAAACAGGAAAAGCTACTAAGGCTGGTGAAAAGATTGGGGCTTTCTACAACTATCGCTGTAGTCACTCGGCTAACGGAGGGAGCGAAGTATCAGCCTCCCCTACTGATATCAATCGCTTTCCTAAAGGTTACCCCTACTACAGCTTTTGCTGTTGCCGAAAGTAGAATAAAACGGTAAATCAGAAAAAGAAACGTCTTTCCCAGATTTTAGTTTCTCTCAAAAACGAATTGAGTTTCAGCGTGCGAAATGCATTTGTAGTATTTTCAATAAAAAGACGTTAATCAGTTCTGTTTTAGATGTGTTTGCTGTCTTTCCTGTCGTTTTTCCCTCTTTTAGTTCGTATTTTGAGAAAGCTCGTTAGCTTGTCGCAGGAAAAGGACATCTTTAAGAACAAAAATGCACATTACAGTCTTGTAGGGTTATCTGGATGTCTGATGATCAAAGAATTTTAATAAGTTAAATAAATAAGTAAATTCATCAAACCTGCGATTAATCGTCTTTACAGTGGCGTTTTCTGAGATTCCCTGAAATCCTAAGGTCAAGGAACCGTGACCACAAAACTACACACAGTACCTTTCGGGGTTGACGCGCGCACTTTTACGCTTTTTTGTCCTACAACCTTTCTTAAAACAGCAGTATGGCTTAATGAATTCGCCATTAGTTAAAATGGAACCCGATCTGGAGCGCGTTAGTTAACTTTGATGTTGTGTTGCATGGTTATATAAGAGATGATTTCAGTTCTCGCTTCAGTTATCCCCTCTTCAGATAATTATTGCAAGGTCGATCTCGTTATTTTTCATTACTTCGTCGTTCAATTAAAAAATAAAAAAATGATAAATTAAAAAAGTCCTGAAAGGTTAAGTTTCCGACTCAATGCGTGTAGGGGAACTAGATTTCGACTATGCTCTAAACCTCGTTTATAATTCTTACAATGATGACATAGTAACCAAGTTTGCTTTGCTTATAGCTTCCACATGTTAGTGAACATGGGCTCCCCAGATAAATAGCGAGGTAATGACGATTATTAAATTCTTCGAATTCTTTGCTCAGAGCAACAGGTCGGGATGGCTTTCGAGATGAGTAAGTTCCCACTCGTTTCGATCAGAACTCATTAGACTGTACTTTTTCTGTAAGCTCAGCCCTTGCGCCTTTACGCATAACGGGAATAACGTGTATTCTATTACTTATATATATATATATAAAGAAATTCTCGCTAAATATTACTCGCCCAGAGATTGCCATTCGACAAAAAGTTTATGCTGATACATAGTAATTCAATACAAATTTTCCGTCTAAATTGTTTCTAAACCTGACTTTCAGAATCCTTGCTATCGGTGCTTCTCTCTTGTTGCAATTTTGCTTAACCAAAACATCTCTAGTTAAATCACATACACCAGGAGCGGATATCGTTGAGAATGAGGTATCATAAGGAATTTTTAGAAATTCTAACTTTTGCTAATAAACTTTTCTAGAGTAAAAGGGATGGTATGACTTACTAGTTAGTAAAGAAGAAGACGTCAAATGCTCATATGCCAACTTTATTCGATTCGATTTAATACATTTAATTTCATTTCACTATGTAGCTGGCAGGATTTGTTTACTCTGTTGTTTAAACAAGAGATCAAATTGATCTCAGTTCCAAACAAAGCAATAGTCCACACATGCAAGACGATGTATCCCAGATACAAATAGTAAGCCAGTAACAAGAGAAATATGTTTGGATTATTTTCTTCGCTGCTGCGCTTATTCATGGGTGTCAACCGGTGTCTGTTTAAACTGCTCATGAGCAGAAGAAAATTACTAGCACCCGTTTGATGGTTATTAAGCGTTTACACTATATTTTACTCTCCGTTTACAGTTCGTTATTTCGGAGACTTAAAAGGCATTTCAGTCATATTAGTTGAATATAGATCGAAAATCTAAGAAGAAACCAAAATCTGTCGTATACTAAATTACCTCCATTTCCAGATGCTTTAACTTTGGTTCGTTCACTACATACAAAAGAAGATGTGATTTGCAGGTTAGCATCACCTTTTATTTCAAAATATGAACACTCCTGCCTCTTTTTTTCCCCCTTCTATCCCCTAGAGAATATTCTCACAAGTTTGCTTTTCAATTGAAAGGACAAGAAAGAAAAAACGTGGCAAAAACAACATTTACTCGTTTTATATTCACCATGTCCATGATTTACAAGACCTTTCCCTGAGAAACAAAGAAGAGCCTCATTCTGATAAAAAAAAGAAAAAAAGCACTAAAAATGAGTCCTCTTAAAGACCTATAATAATTGTTATTACTTCAACTTATGGCACATAATACTATTTAAAAGATATGATAAACATGCGTCAACAGTTTCTGGTCTTGAAAGTCGCAGTCATATCTGAAGTTCACTTTCGTCAAAAAATCCCCTAGCTTCTCCTTGGCGTCTTATGTTGATAGCCCTGTGTCATTTTGCACTTCTATCTAAAAAAAAAAGTAAAAAAAGGCAATTGATTTAGGGCACCGTTTCCTTTTTTTAACTCAAAGCTCAAATCTCAGTCTACGGTAAAACACAGATAGAAGAAACAAATTCAAAATCAAGGCTCGTATACCAAACGGCCAAAGGTTCAGCGCTTGCCCGATTCCAATCAAGTCTAGTATCTAATGAGCACAATCATCATTTAAGTTAAAGACATGAAAGCAGCGCAATAAATTATTTATTAGAATGACGTAAAGCACTACCAGCTTTGTCTAGTCGTTTTCAGGAAAATAAATTCCAAAGGTATTCTTTTTCAATTTCGCAAACTCTCAAATTTAATCAAATATAAACTGACTGAGCAGGAATCCGTGCTTTTAAAATAATTGATATGGCTGTAAAATCTATAATCAGCATCATTCAAATATGTCCTTTTTCCATGTGCAAGTGAATGTTCACATGGGAACTAAACACAAGGTAGTGGTATGCTTTTAGAATTATTCCCGATGAATATTCCTTCATGTATTAAATGAAATTTGAAAGAAATTGAAGTTGACAAGTTTGATTAGAATTAAAATCATTTTAACGGGCGTTGCAGCACATTTTGAGGGCTGAAGTAGAGATTTTGGAGGGTTAAAAATGTATTTTCCCGCTTGCACGCCAGCTTGATTGTTCAGACTGGGTTGTTGATTTTTTCAGTTCTATCTCACACTGCTCACGAAATTGATACTGCTATGAAATCTATAATCAGCATCATTGAAATATGCGATGTTTCTACGTGCAGGAAATTGTTCACATGGGAATTGAGCACAAGGTAATGATATGTATACATGCCATGTTCCAGCATCAAAACTGAAAGGTATTAAATACGTTTTTAGAATTAATCCCGATGAATATCTCCTTGATGTATTGAATCAAATTTAAAAGAAATTCAAGTTGAGAAATATTGCAATTACAATCATTTCATAGAGCATTGGAGACCATTTTCTGAAATAGAGATTTTGCGGGGTTAAAATGTATCTTTTCCCTCTTGAACGGTCGCTTGCTTGTTCAGACTACATATTTTGTTGTTATTTCTCAGTTCTATTTCTCAATGCTCACCAAATTAATAATATTTATTTATGTCCCAGGTCTTGCTCGAAGTCATTTAAAATTGAATTCGGAAGATTGTCATATTTCAGTGTTGCAAACTCAAATTTAATCCAATTTAATTGAATTGACCAGGAATCAATTCTGTTCACATGATTGATACGGGTATCAAGGTAGCCTTTAATGCTCGTTGTGTTAAACATGCACTCAGGATTAATTTACTGTTGGTTTCCCATTGGCGCCATGAATGAACACCTGCCACACTCTATCATTTTCTTGAAAATGGTTGCCTCCCTCAAGAATTTAAATAGTTCCTGTGATTTATAGCCGTCATTTTCTGCCGACAAGTTAAATGCCTTTAAAGGTCGGCCAATGTAGGCGGTTTAGAACACACAGCCAACCAACAATTCCTTAAAAACAGGGCAAAAGCGTTTTTTGTACGAAATTTGCCCTCATTTTGTTTGCTTTCTGCAGGCTTGATAAGAGAAGCCAAAGAACAGAAAGCTCTGTTACCAAGAGGTGTCAGCGAACCAACTAAAAGTAGGGGATGTAACCGATAGGAAGCCACCAGTTGGCAAAGTTACAATAATTACAATAGTTCTAAGAAAAATTGACAAAAAGGATCAAAAAGATAGATACTAACAACTAGCAGATATTTCCTCCTATATGATGTGAACGTGTAAATTGAAATCACTGATGATCTAGACCGAAACTTGATGTAATTAAAGCGAACTACAGGCGGCCCAAGCTCCAGCTATGGGATGATCACCTTGCGAAATAAGAGTCATGGCGAAATTATAAGAGTTTGTATGGGAATATCAAGTTTATGAACGCTGTTATGAATTAAAACCAGCCACACTTGACCATTTTCTTGACAATGGTTGCCTCCCTCGGTAATTTAATTAGTTCCTGTGATATATGGCCGTCATTTCCGGCCGACAAATTAAAGGCCTCCAAAGGTCTGCTAATGTAGGCGGTTCAGAACACGCAGCTTACCAATAATTCCTCGAAAACAGAGCAAAAGCCTTTTTATAAAAAATTTGACATAATTTGTTTTCCTTTCTGCAGGCTTGATAATAGAAGCCAAAGGACAGAAAGCCCTGCTAACAAGAGGTATCAGCGAGCCAATTAAGGCCCCGTCCACACGTATCCGGATAAATTTGAAAACGGATAAATATTTATCCGTTTTCAAATTTATCCGCGTCCACACGTTGCCGTTTGGGAATCGTTTTTGGTGTCCACACGTAAACGTCAAACAATGCCGTGATGAACTGAACAAAATGTGCA